TTTCTGTTTCCCAATTTCGGCCTGCTTTTTCATCATTTACTTTTATCTCTACCACAGCCCCCTTAGCCGAAGCCACTGTCTCTCACTTACATAAATGTCATCGCCACCAGGCTCACCACCTTACCACATGACAGAAGACCTCATTGCTCTGTCTGGAGGAGATAGGAAAGTAAAAGTTTGCCAGGTAGACCAGAAGGTCGACGGGCATTCCAGGAACTGAATCATAGAAACATGAGAGACAGTGACACACCAAGGAAGTAATGGGATGATTGATATTGGTTGCGTTTAGGCCTCAGTCGGAAAGAGACCTGCAGTTACCAACAAGTGAGACGAGTGCATCTCAGGCCTCATTTTCCAGATGCAAAAGATCAGCTCAGGTGTTAGGAGATTTTAATGATAATGGTGTTGTTTATTAATGATACATACATTTTAACTTCAGTTTTAAAGACCTAAGAAATGAACACCCAACATTTTTTTTTATTTTATCTTGGTTTGCTTACAAAGTTCATATACCCCGTATTTCATACAATTCTTCATTCACATTTTTAAATTAATTTAAAAAAAAAAAAAGAATGTGGGTTAGGTACTGTAAATGACTGCTATGCATCAAATGAACACCCAACATTTTTTTTTATTTTATCTTGGTTTGCTTACAAAGTTCATATACCCCGTATTTCATACAATTCTTCATTCACATTTTTAAATTAATTTTAAAAAAAAAAAAAGAATGTGGGTTAGGTACTGTAAATGACTGCTATGCATCAAACTGAATTGTTTCACATCTAAGACCATGTTCTTTAACCAGTCTAAACTTTCAACCACTTAAAAAGCCTGAAGAAGGCTGTGGTTCCATTTTCCATCAACCTCTCAAACATGTGCTTTATAAATTTGCAGACTTCTAGAGATTTCACAGAAGCCCCAAAGCCCCTACTGCTGACCTCACCTGTGAGCTCTGTTCTTAACTTACAAGACTAACACCAATTTGATAAGGTGGCACCTTATTGGATCCTCCCATCTTTGTTCCTTCGATATTAATCTAGCCCCTGAGCATATTTTCATCTGATTATGCATACAATTGGGAACTGTTTCTAATAATAATAATAATAATAATAATAGAATCAGAATAGCACATAACATTTTACAATCCATGTACATAGTAAAAAACAATAACAACAAACTGGAGGCTCTGGGAGGTCTTTTCTGCTGATATTTCTGAATAGTGTTTGCATTTTGTGAGTATAAGAAGCAGAAGAGCCTTGCTAGTAGACCTTTTGAAATTGGCCTTCAACACATTTGTTTTTTTAAAAAATCCAGGCTTTAGAGAATATGAGAGAGGTGTTTGAAGTAGAACATACTCTATATGAGTGAATGTAGAAAGTGATGAATGGCGTTTTTTTAAAAAGAAAGCACTAGAGTACCCATATTGGAAGACTGAAAATGGAAATTCAGTTTCCTCTTAGAAACAGGCCTTGCATTGTGTCGCTAGGGACAATGGAAATAGAAGCCAGAAGTCACAGTTTATTTCAGGAATGTCGTAAAACATTTGTCCCCATTAGATGATGATGTTACAGGGCATCGGGAAAGTCTTGGAGTTACACTTGTCTGCTGACCTCTCCTTCTACCATCATATACCACCAACCCCCAGGGAGCATAGCACTTCCTGGCTGTTGCCATATATACATACATATATACGTTCGTATTCCAATCTGATCCCCTCTCATTCCCAAAATAATTAGCATGAACAGAATGAAGCAGATGGCACAAGCCTTCCTTGGCGTGCTGACAGATCTATATCACTCACTCATTATTTTTAGAATCAAGGGGATTGAAAATTATGTCCTGAGATGTTTCGGGGGAAGACTTACTGTCTTTCCAGTGTGACAGGTGTTGAACTATTACCATGTTGAAGACTCAGATGCAAAGTTTATACAGTCACCGAAGCAGCTACTAGCATCAGGACCATCCCTCCGTTGATTTCCTGTTAGGATTGTTGGTGGTTTGACAGGTGACATACAGTAATCCGAAGACTCTAGGCAAGAAAGTGCCTCAAGTTGGAACCAGAGAGTATCATTATTAGCAGATAACAGGTACCTATGAAATATATGGTGGTAGGAGATTTATCCAGAGTTTGTTTTTCATAAACAGTGAACCTTTGCTTTTGACCATAGAGAATTTTGAGTCTGTTGGGAAAGACTGTTATTTTTCTCAGGGTCTACGGTTATATCATGAAAGATGTTTGTCTCTATTTTTGTAGTCAGTTAGAGTGACTGAATTTTTTTTAGTTCATCATTTGAAAGGGGGGAATCCTTAAAGAATGTACACTGCCCAGTAAATTCAACGTGTGATTACTCACTTTGCTTTTAATGTTGGGTTGGGTATATTTACCACATAGACTTAAGTCCTCAGTAGAGTGAAAGTGACACTCATGAAATAAGTGTAGGAATGTTTGAGACATTCACTTCCTTTGTTTTTGTTTTTGTTGTTGTTTTTGTCTTTGAGAGAAAGTTAGATGTGGGGGATAAAGAGTCAAAAGTATGTATCTCACCTTTAAACACACAAGGCTATGCCTAAAACTTTGTATCCATCATCTTTGAAGACACAAAAATGATCTAAATATAATAATGCTCATGATTCTTGGACCTTTGAATCTAGGAAAGTGGCTAGAAAGACAGCTCTAGGAAAACTTTATTGGTTACCCATATTTTTCGTTTGTGTTCCTCGTTGTGTTGGTAAGCTGACAATCAAGATATTTACATCTGTTGAATGCAAGCCTTCTTTCTTTTTCTCTCTCTATGCTCATGACATCTTCCACAAGGGTGAGCATGTGTATTATTCAGACTACTGGTTCCTTCCAGTATGATTGATGGCACAGTATACATAGGGAGAGACTGTGTGTCCTTTTTCCATTATATCCCAGCTAAATTGCTTCGAACAATGGGCTAATGTACAGCTAATGGTTTCTACTTTTAATCCCTGTGATTAAAATATTTGCATGCTGGGTGTTTTGTTATCCTACCATGCTTGCAGATCCATTTTTGTTTCAGTTGATTGTCACCGACAAACCTTTTACATAGATCGGGTAGTAATCACAGACAAGGCACTTGAAACTCAGGACCGAGCTAACAAATAGGGAGACTGGAATTTGAATTCTGACCGGACACCAGAAGCATCTGAGGCAGGAGGAGATGAGAAACTCTAGAAGTTTCTTACACACTTTTGCCCATTAGAAGAGGGATGTACGTCTCTCTAGGTGTATGTGCTTTGTACTGCCGTATTTAAAGACGCATCAGATATAAATGTCATGTAGTTAGAGCCCAGCGTTCTGGAATACTGCAGACCTGAAAAGAACTGAAAGGCAAGTAAAAGATTTACAATGAGGAGCCGCACTGAGGACTTGGAGTAAATGGATGGTTTCAGAGAACAAGCCTTGGCATTTGCCGTATTAGGTCAGGTTACCATGAGTGTTGTGACAGTGTGATGGTGCGCGGGGAAGGTTGGCCTCTGCACAAAAGGTGCCCACATGTGCTCATTATAAGCAAATAGCTCGCTAATGTACTCTAATGGCAGCTGGAAGGTTAGCATCCATCACCTGAGGGGGGGAAAAAATAATAACCACACTAAAATAGCACATTTCTCCTGAATTGTAGCTAGTCATTTTTATTGTATGGTCTGATGCTGGCCCAGACACTTAAGTCTTCCAAAATGATGTTCACAAAAATAAAAGGCTGGTTCTTTGAGACTCTGGCGAGGTTGAAACAGCAGGTGTGATTTGGGTTTCAGAGTGGTTGTATTGGAGGAGACAGCAGGCCTATAGGTCCAGGTGGTTCTGTTAGTGCTATAGGGTGGGAGAGGAGTTGAGGACGTTCCCTAAAATAAAAAGGAGAGTCAGGGAACACTTTAATGTTTTCTAAGTATGTGGTTGTGTTTTCAGGGAATATTTTGTCTCCTGTGTGTCGCCGTCGTTATGCCAGTGAACTAAACTAACTCCATTCACATTTCTTTTATATCAGCCTTTGTGTGTCGTAATCTTACAAATTAACAAATGTGTGCAAATGAGTTCTGCTCAGCCTTTGGAAGTTAATTTAGATCAGCTGTGATCAAACTTCCATCATGCTGACACAGACTGAAGAGTCCTAACCATTAGTTTGAATGAACCACTGCTGTGCCTTCGAGTCCCTTCCAACTCACAACAGCTTCCAGGCCTGTCAGCGTAAAGTTCTGAAGGGTCTTCACGGGCCTGATTTTTCAACTGTAAGTCAGCAGGCTTTTTATTTCAGGGCTCTTCTGGAAAGCCAACCTTTTGATTACAGCAAGTGCTTAACCATTTCAAACCCCCCAACAGAGCTTTTATTGATACAGCAGCTGAGCCCTTAAACAGCCTGAGGGGTCACCCCCTCCACCCTTTAAATTACTGGTCAGCCTGGCCTCGCCCTGACCATGATAGGAAGTTGATAATTGTGAGTCTATGGAAACAGCCACCTTTATCACAAGCATGTGCTCACCCCCCCCCCCATCAGAACACTGATCTCAGTTCCTCCCACCCAGGAGAAGCCCATGCTCGTGGATGGATGTGCAGAAGGCCGTCCTACAGGACACGGGGGGCGTGGACTGGCTTCGAGCCACTGTTGATGCTGAGAATACTGTTTGCAAATGGCTAATGCAAGAAAACTGTCACTCTTCTCTCCACAGACCGCCTGGTGATCCTGGATATCGCCCGCTCTAGTGATGCAGTGTACCTTTCTGTTCCTGGGATTTCATCTGTGCCTCAGACATTCTGCCCCCAGCGTGAGACTGCTTATAACCTGGGATGTGGAAGCCCAGGAAGCAGAGCTAGTGGCAACTGAGAGGGCCACATCTGGGTAGAGCCAGGCCTCCGCCCTGGTCTGGAGTCGAGCTGTCACGGCTCTGCTCTTGCGCCCAGCACCAGGCTCCCGTCTGTGCCTAAATGGCACAGCAGCCGGTCTGCGCATCTGACAAGGAAGCTGTGAGCAGCAAAGCCCATGGCCACTTTCCCCTGCCGGTTATGTGGCAAAACATTCCTCACCCTGGAGAAGTACACTATTCACACTTACTCCCACTCCAGGGAACGGCCTTACAAGTGTTTGCAGCCTGAGTGTGGCAAAGCCTTCGTTTCCAGATATAAACTAATGAGGTGAGAGTCTTCAGAAAAGGTATGAACTCTTCCATAGGACATGCCTTTAAATGGTATCATGAGTTCTTCGAGCTGGCCCTGTTGACTTGCCCATGGGTAATTTATAAAGTCAGATAAATCCTCTTCAAAGAAAGGCAGGATGGGTGAACACTGGTGGCCTAGTGGCAAGAAGCTGCACTGAAATCCCAGAGGTGCACAGTTAGAGTCCACCAGATGCTCTGGTGGAGAAGGAGGGACAGTCTCCTCCTGTACCAGTCAGATCCCATTTGACGGTACACACACACATTAAAGAAATGAATTTTTTAAAAATAAATAAAGGCAGGAAGGAAGGAAGCAACTACTGGACCAAACAGAAAAAACTTTAAAAAGATTGTAAACAAGTGTTCTGACGATCTCCCTATGGATATATGGAACATAAACTTATTTGTTCTCCAAGATGCTCTCAAAATCTTTTCTGCAATCTGTTAATATAGTTAGTAGATGCAGAATGTGGAGACAGCCAACATCATCATCCGTAAAATCCTTTCTGCATGGTTATCCACCCATGCCCCATACAGAGCACTGATCTTCCTCTTACAGTGCATCCCTTTACGTGCCCCCTGCGCTGTCAGGGAACATCCATCTTTCTGGATCCCCCGTACAAAGCAGGCTGTTGGGTTTTGTGAAGGGTAAGAGGACGGCGACAGATTTGCTTTATCTTTGAGAAGATAGCAGTGTGATTCAGACTAGCCCTCTGTCTTTGGATTTGGCCTCTTACTAGGGTCCGACAGCATCTTCTAAGTAGCTGCTCCTGTGCCTCTGTCCCTTAGGAGAGAATGGTCATAGAGGCTAGAAAGTCGAGTGAAACTTGGTACACTGGTGACTTAAACATACTGTCTTAAAGAGGCCCCGTGTTTAGAAAATAAAAAGAAGGCCCTGTCTTTTTAATTTTTAAAACAATATGTTTTCAGTGTAAGTTTACACAGTGAATTAGGTTCCCATTTAATAATTGTCCAGACTGTTTCATGACATTAGTTACAGTTTTCACGATGTCTCCACATTCTCATCCTTTCTGTGCTGTTTGCTCTTTGCCATTGATCTAGCCTCCCTGCCCCTCCTTGCCTTCTCATCTCCGCTGCTGGGTAAATGTTGACCGTGTGGTCTCATGTGCATGGCTGTTTGAGGGACACATCACTCGTGGATGATACTGTTTACTCTACAGACCAATCTGGTGTCTGGCTGAGAGGTACCCTCTCCAAGTGGCTTCAGTGCCAATTTCAAAGGGTATCTTAGAGTTGTGGTCTCAGGCACCCTCTGGGCCCGAGTGATCCAGCAGGACGCAGCTCACTTTATTTCTTTCTTTTTTTTTTAGGATGAGGCCTTACCATTTTTATGTATTTAATGAAAAATTGTTTTGTATTTTCTATGTCAAAGGTTATAGTCACATGTGAAAGATCAGTAGGACAAACTTTAGCTTAAAGACAAAACTCCTCAAGGAGTTGACTGTCCCAACGGACATCAAGCAACCTGTGTCGTACATTTAATTCACAAGTTGCAAATAAAGATTGTCCTTTGTAGGGAGGAATAACAGAGAACACTTGCTCTTTTGTGATTTAGTTAACCATTATTGTTTTAGGGTGATACATAATCAGAGTTTCTTTGTATCACTTAAGGTTGTTGGGTTTTTTTAAAAAAATCAACATGAATTCAGATTTTAGGAATTCCATGAAACTAGAGAATAGTGATAGAATCATGATTGGTTCCCAAAATTAATTTGTGGTTTGTTGTTGTTGTTGTTGATTGCCATCGAGTCGCAGGCGACTCATAGTGACTCTATGAACGAAGTCCTGGACACTTCCTGTATGACTTTCGTCCTTTCACCAGGTTCATAGGGTTTCCAGAGGCAAGCTTTTGTGGAAGTGGATGCCACTCCTGCTTCCAAGCTTGTTTTAATCGGGGAGCTCCACCAAACACTGTACAGCATGTGGACATACCAGGGTTATACAACCTAGAAGAAGGTTTTACAAACCTAAATATAAAGTAACTGTTTTGAAAGTCCAGAATGGCCAAGATAGCTATGGCTTGTCCTGGAGCCAAAAGAGAAGAAAACTGTATAAAGGTGGTGAGGACAAGCAGCTTAGTCCTTTTAGAAAATTCCTTTTAGACTTTATCAGATTACCAGCGACCACTGGCAGATGTAAAGATGGGAATCAGTTGAAGATGTCTAAGAGGAGGCTTGGAGAAATGGTCATGGGCTGCATGCACCAAGATGATAGCTGATGATGAGAATTCCTCAATGGAGAAAACCAAGGCCTAGATCTCAGGGGAGGCACACAGTAGGCCCAGTGCATAGGTGATGGGCTTGGCATCTTGGGTCCAGCTCGACATTTCTGCGAGCCAAAGGATAGGTTCTTTGGCCTGAATTTTCTGTCTTCATGAATAGTGAGTGACCAAGCAGTAATTGCATTAGGAACAATAACCTAAAACTGAGGCTTTGGGGTTTTTAGGGAGGCAAAGGGGCAACCTTGGGAGGTTTATTAGTCCCTGTTTTTTTTTCTTAATTCTAAAATATTTTTCTTGTTCACATATTTCTAAAAACATGCCTTTATTTAGAAATCTTAAAAAAATCTTTTTAATTATGCCAAAAAAGTATATAGTCTCTAAAATCTTAATTTACATACAACATAATACATATTATGTCTTTAATGGAAGTGATTTTTTCACTTGACAGTATTATGACGTATCTCTATTATGACTTTAAAGAAATTTAAAGCACCTCTGGTACCACCACTCAGAGCTTAGCTTATTAGCATCCTCGCATCCTCTCTTCCGTTTAAAGTAACTGAAGGCCATTGTGGGTTTTCTCCTTCTGTTCCTAGACACATGGCGACTCATTCACCACAGAAATCTCACCAGTGCGCGCACTGTGAGAAGACATTCAACCGCAAGGACCATCTGAAGAACCACCTGCAGACCCATGACCCCAACAAGATGGCCTTCACCTGCGACGAGTGTGGGAAGAAGTATCACACCGTGCTGGGCTACAAGAGGCACAAAGCGCTCCACGCGGCCAACAACGGCGACCTCACCTGTGGGGTCTGTGCCCTGGAGCTGGGCAGCACCGAGGTGCTGCTCGACCACCTCAAAGCCCATGCCGAGGAGAAGCCCCACGCCGCAGTCAAGCAGAAGAAACACCGCTGCGACCACTGCGAGCGCTGCTTCTACACCCGCAAGGATGTGCGGCGTCACCTGGTGGTCCACACAGGTTGCAAGGACTTCCTGTGTCAGTTCTGTGCCCAGAGGTTTGGGCGCAAAGACCACCTCACCCGCCACACCAAGAAGACCCACTCGCAGGAGCTGATGAAAGAGAGTCTGCAGAACGGAGACCTCCTGGGCACCTTCCATTCCATTGCGCCACCGTTCCAGCTGAAGGCTGCCCCTCTGTCTCCTTTCCCCATAGGGACGCCGATGCAGAATGGGCTTGCAGGTAGCTTGACAGCTGAGGTACACGGCCACCCCCACAGCCCCACAGAGCAGATGCCTGTGCCACCCCTGTCAGAGGTCCTCCCCACCCTCCACTCTCCGCCTAACTCGTCTCCCCCGGGCCTCCAGCATCACAAGTACAACACCACTTCTACCTCATACGCCCCACTTGGAAATCTGCCCATCAAAACAGAGAATAAAGGGTTTTGCAGTATCAATCTGCTCGAGGACTTGCCTCTGCAAGAGCCTCAGTCACCTCATAAGCTCAATCCCGGTTTTGATCTGGGCAAGGGAAGTGCTGGTAAAATCAATCTGCCCAAAGAGCTGCCGGCAGATGCTGTGAACCTGGCCATGCCTGCCTCTCTAGACCTCTCCCCTCTCCTGGGCTTCTGGCAGCTGCCCCCTCCTGCTACCCAGAATGCCTTTGGGAATAGTGCGCTCGGCCTGGGGCCCGGGGAACCCCTGTCCCATCGATTGAGCTGTCTGGGGCCACAGCAGCAAGAGCCCACTCTAGCCATGAGCACCATGAGCCTGAGTCAGCTTCTGCCTCCCATCCCCCACGTGTTCCCTGCTGCCACCGGCTCTGCCATCCTGCCCCATTTCCACCACGCATTCAGATGACTGGCTTCTCGAGTATCTTTGTCCTGGTCCTTGTCTTAGAAGCATTTTAAACATGAGTTGTAATCAAGGGATGATTAGAAAGCAGGGCCAGGAATATATATATGGCTTATTCAGTTATCGGCTGGTTAGAAAAGAGTTCGCATACTATATATTGCATGTATTGTGCCAATCTGTGTTGAGTGTTCATGCTTTGTACCAAATGTATCCAGCGTGCGTGTATGTATGAGTGTGTGTGTGTATGTGTGTGTGTTGTTTAATGAAGTTGCATATATTGTCAAAACGAAAATCCAAAACAAGGGCTGCTATCTTATAAATAGTTGTTTGTCATATTGAATATAACCATAAGCCATTATCATAATTATGTTAACTACATATGTAACTTTTTATGTGATATTACTTAGTAAATGAACTATGGAAAGGTTTGGCTTTCTTCAAGTCAGGAGAACTTTTATAAGAAGAAATTAGCATTTATATGTCATGTAATGTCATGTTATAACAAGGCTGTGTATTTCTTTTCAGGGATTTTTGTACCTTTACCTTTGGATATAGTTTAGTTATCATTGCCATAGCCAACCTGTAGTCATATAAAAACAATTACTTGTTGAACAATAGATTCCTACACTTACTAAAAAGAGCATTTTAAGTTTAGTATTTTCCACAAGATGTTATATGTGAGTTATCAATGATTTCATTTATCTTCATGACTAAGTTCATCTGTCAGTTATGCCTGACAGAAAAAAATTTAAAAATTAAAAAAAAATCACTGTGTAACCAGTTTAAGTGATAATCTAGGCATCAGCCAAGAAAGGCATTTTGCTGACTTTAATATTCATTATATTTTTAACAGGAATTTATGAAAATATTACTGGAATTTTAAATATCAAATGAAGCTTTCTTTGCTCTCTATTTGGCTTAAACTACTACTCTGCTTAAATACTGTTTTTAATCACAAATAAAGCATTTTTAATTCATCAATTTAAGTCACTCTGAGTGTTTATTCAAAAAGGAGTGTATTTTGCAGTGTTACTATATGTCTCTTGAGTTTGGTATATAGTACTTTGTAAATCTACTAGCCTTTTGTTTTTAGAAGCCTTCTTTCCCCTGAAGGTTTATCTTTGTACAAAGCCTTCATGTAGCCTGGCTAATTTTTACATATCCCTATACTTTGGTGAAGATAGGAAACATTTCTTGCCCCCCTCCTTATTTTTCCCCCCTTTTTCTCTTGCCCTTTCTTGATCATACTTTCGTAAGTCACTGCCATAGAGTGAACTTGACTCAGCAGCCCGGCAGTGGGCGTTCAAGTCTGTAAATAAGGACTTTTAGGAGGATACATCTTTCTCCCATAGAGCAGATAATGGATTTGAACCACTAACTTTTCATTTCACAACCCAGTGTGTTACTGTGCTATCGGTGCTCTTTATAATTTAGAGGAATTACTATGAGCTCTAGTAGGCATGAGTTATAAACATCATCATTTAAGGTAGAAGCTTACATACCTCACAGCTCTAGGAATTTCTAAAAATTCTGAAACCACCTGTAATAAGTCCATTTTTAGGAAGTCCATTCCAACATAAAGGTCAGCATAGTAGCTATACAAGTTGAATCGCACCTGGGTTACCATGACCCAATTCTACAATGTCATTGACTGTTAATTTCTAATACAAATAAAAAATTCCTTTATTGGGGTATCTTCAGAAAACATGTCACTTACATCTACAAGACGGACTTATTTTTTTTTCCTTTTAAGTGATTAGGGGTTGTTGTTGTTGCTATGTGCCGTCGAGTCGTTTGCAACTCATAGCGACCCTATGTACAACAACCCTAAACCCTGTTCTATCCTGTGCCATTCTCACTGCCTCTGACACATCCATCCCGATTACCCCAGTCACTGAATCAATCCACCTCATAGAGGGCCTTCCTCTCCTGCGCTGTCCTTCTACCCAGCATGATGTCCCTCTCCAAAGACCTGTCTCTCTTTGCAACATGTCCAAAGTATGTCAGATGAAGCCCCAGAATCTTTGCCTCCAAGGAGTAGCCTGGTTTAACCCTCTCTAGGATGAATCTGTTTGTTTTCTTGGCAGTCCATGGTACATTCAATACTCTTCTCCAGTGGCAGAAAAAGGCAAATCTTGATGTTACTTGCCCAACAAGGAAACCTGTTGACCAAAATGAGGAGCCCTCGCTCAAGGTCCTTAATGGCTACTCAAAAGGGCAGTGGGTATTTGCAGATGACTTGGTGGCTTGGTGGTTGGGAGTGCGCTGCCAACCCAGAAGAAAGCTGTGGGGTACACAAGCAGCTCCCCAGGACATGGGCAGTCTCCTCCAGTGAGAGGGATTACCTCCGAAAACCCACTCGAGAGTCAGCTAGGAGTTGGTTCCAACTCAGCAGTACATTCAAGTAGGGTTGTCGCGTGTGGAACTAGCATGGTAAAGCCTCAACTACAGAATTTGGTTCTCAGCTATCTTGAGGTCTTTAACATGAAGGGAGGAGATGGAACATAGCCATACAGGTTACTTCATTCAGAGCAGGCACCCGCTGCCCTGGGATGTCTGAATTGGTTCCCCTTCCACTCTCACCTAGTCAAGGGAAACCAGGCACCCAGAGAGCTGGCATGGGCATCTCAGCGCACACCACCCAAGGTCCACTCTTGTTCTAGAAGCTTCTACAGATACTTTTACGAGGCTCGGTGCAGTCTTCAGTCAGTTCCAGCACAAACACTTGCTATCCTCGAGCATACAAATCATATTTGAGAAAAATTAGATAGATTATGTCTACTGCATTGAAACAGCTGAGGGAGAGAACAGTTTAAAAGTGATGATACGATTGGGTATTATGGTTATGACAAGATGCCAGAATGAAGGTTCCATAGTGGAGTGTACTGGGGGAGGTGGGTGGGATTGTACACCAATGAAGGAATTTTTCTTTTACTTTTCAAAGAGAAGAGCGAACGGGGTGGGGGTGGGGGGGACAGGGAGAAAAATGCAACAATGAATGAATGGAAATCCAAAATCTTTTTAAATGTTCATTAAAATTAATAAAATAAAATTTTTTTTAAAAATTACATTTGGTCCTTAAAACAACAAATCAAAAGAGTTTCAGAATGTTTGCTGTCCTTTAGATGGGAGTAGCTTAGTGTTCTTTTAAAGTTTAGATACGAGAAATAGCTTGATATTTAGACTCCCTGACTAAGAAAAAGAAAGCTCTTGGATTAAAAAGTCTATGTATAGAGACTCTTTATAGTTTGCTGGCCTTTCAGACCATAGAAGGAGGGCTAATTGAGACACAACAGAGCAATGACAAATGAGTTTTTAATTGTTAAGAGAAAGAAATGACATTTCAAATGCCCTCCTCTTAAGAGGAGTTATTTGTTACCTGTCCATTCAGCTTTCAAAGCACTTATGTATATGAATTCTACCTGGTACATCAGTATGTGTTTGAAAATAGGAATATAGTTTAACATTTATTAGAAAAAGCTGGGACTTCACAGCTCTTAGGTAAAGATAGACTAAAACTAGGTAAAAATCGTTTTCCTAGTAAGTACATGACTCCTTTCCTAAAGGGTAGGTTCCAAGGTCAAAGATATATTTTCTTGAAAAGCCTGTTACGGTTAGCACAGGAATCCAGAATTAAGGTTGCATAGAGAAGTGTACTCGGGGTGGGGCGGGGGTAAAGGGATGGGGGAATTTTATACTAATGAAGGATTTTTTTTTCTTTTTCTTTTCAGAGAAGGGAGCGAACTGGTGGGGAGGCGTGGGCAGGGAGAAAAGTGCGGCAATGAATGAATGGAAATCCAAAACCTCTGTAAATGTTTATTAAAATCAATAAAATTTTTAAAAAGCCTGTTAAATACCCATTTTCTTATTATAAATTTTTATTGTTATTTTAATGAAAGTTTACAGAAAACTTTGATTTCCATTCATTCATTGTCGCACATTTTCCTCCCTACCCCTGACCCCAGTTCACTTTTAAAATAATTCATTCATTGTATCATTTTTCCTCTCTCCCACCCTCACCCCTGTTCACTTTGCTATGCATCTCTTATTCTGGACTTTTGTCATGCAAATAATGCCTAATCATACATTCCTTTTAAACAAATCTCAGTCACAAAAGGATAAATACTGCATAATACCACTGTTACAAAACAGGACTAACATTAGGGGTTGGGGCAAACTAAGAAAAGAAGGGGTAAATAATGAACATTGCTTTGGAATCAATGTCCATTTTCAAGAGAGTCAAGGGCATCTTTAAGCATTGTCGTACAGATTGATGTGCTGTTTAATGACTTAGGTTGAGCAAGGAAATCTGCCTTGTTCTAAATGATAGCTCAGGACAAATGGCAGGTGTGAACACACAGGTACTGCTCCTTCCCCTAAGGTGGCATGCGTGAGTCACAGCCACCCCAGCAAAGCAGGGTCCGGAAGCCAGCCAGTCTGCAGGGAGAGAACACAAGCATTTCCTTTAGAATCTTGTTTGCCTTCTCATGCTGCTAAATATCATAGGTCTTGACATTCACCAGTCATTTTCCAGTTCACAGGATCAAAGCAGGCTCTAACCTAGTTCTCACATCCCTCTTGGGAAGTGTCCCTTTTGTGGAGGAGGACTTAGAAAAGAGAAGCAGTGCCCTTTCCAGTCAAAAATGACACCTCAGTCCCTCTCCTGTGAAGTGAGAATAGAAAACTGAGTAGAAACCGTTCATGCTTAACCAGAACTTCCCAGAGTACGCATCTTGTTAACTACCTCAGGCTTTGCCCAGTTTTCCCTTTGGTTTGCCACTGTGGGTTCCCTAGAGAGTCAAGAACTGTATCTTAAGCACCTAGAATAGAGGGGTTTTTTTTTTTCTTACCTGCTCTCTAGGAGTTAATCTTTTTTAGAAGACTTAGTGAATCCTTGTCTGAGTTTTCCTCCCACAGCAGGGTCTGTTGCTAATCCTTTGTAAACATAAACAGATTTGTTATTATGTCAAAGCAAAACACTGGGGCTCAGAGTGGGTACATTTGTTGTGAAACCTTCACATTGGACTCCCACGCCTTTTTCTTCTTTTTTAAACTATCAACTGTTTCTGGCCTGGGTCAAGTAATAAGGAAAATGGGAACTATCTTGGGGTCTTCTCTACCTCAAGCCCTTCATTTGCCCATGAATAAACGGGAAAATCTCTTTGATGGCATGCACCCCAGTGACCCATCATTTATCCAGGCAGACTCTCAGCTTCCTTTGCTGCTGCTACTCCCAGCTTTCAAAACCTCCCCTGACGTTTCCTGCTTCACACTTAGCTGCTGTCATGCTGGAAAGGGTTTGATAAGCCTTACTGAAGTCTTCCATGCCTTCCCTACCCATCAATGCACCACCTAGTCTTTGTAACACGAAGCAGTTATGAGAAATAAGCATAAGGGAGCTCTGGGGGCCTATTGGTAAGAAGCTCTGCTGTAATTCCAAAGACACGTGGTTTGAATCCACCAGCTGCGGTGTGGGAGAAGGATGGACAATCTCCTGAGAAGCTGCTGGAGAATGAGCTATGAGCTGGGTCTGACTCAATGGCACACAACAACAACAACATGGAGTAGGATCATATCAATACGCAAATCTGGTTTGGGCCACATGGTGTAGGATTAGATTCACAGATACTTTTTGTTTAAAAGAACTTCGTCCCTTTATTCATAGTAGTAGTATTTTATATTGGTTTACATACAAAGTTCATAAAGTTCATATAGTTTTTTCCCCTTTCCTTTACCCACCCCGCCCTCCACCCATCAAATTGTACGACCCTATGACTAAGCACCCTGCCCCCCCCCCATAGATTCTCATACTCATTCTACAGTAATGGTCTTATACAATATTTGTCCTTGTAAGACTGAGTTAGTTCACTCAGCATAATGTTCTCCAGTCCCTCCCAGGTTAGGTAGTCATTTACAAAAATCATTGCTCCTGTGTGCTGCATAGTATTCCATTGTGTGACTGTACAATAATTTCTCAGTCCATTCCATTGTGGTTGGGCATTTGAGCTGTCTCCATGTTCTTGCTATGGTGAATAAGGCTGCTATGGACATTGGCATCTTAGGGCCTTCCTTTCCGATTAGCATTGTGTGAAGGAGGAGTCATCAAGCTACACTAGTGAATTTTGAGTCTGACTATCAAAGGCTTTGAGAATAGAAAAAGCCTTCAGTATTAGCTTTATCCACTTTCATCCGCGTTGACTTGTGCCAAAGATGCAGCATCTGACCCTGTGATATTCATTACTTTTGCTTCAAAATTCGGTAAGGAAAGGGGCATTGGTACAAGTTACAATGCTTTACTTGATAAAACACACAAGCTCCAGAAATAAAAATAGAGCCCACATCAACAAACTATACATGGCCAGAAATAAACAGCAATTGCAGTAGCAACCCCATTTGAATTCCCTGGGCACTATAGTTTGCAACAATGTGAGCCCACGAAGTTACAGAGTCCAGGATGACAATTTCACAGTAATCAAATTTCTCAGTCTCAAAGTACTAGAGAAAGAAAATGTTTCTGAGTTTTACCTTCCCTTTAGGGACATTAACTAGTCCCTCTAAACCAAAACCTTGAAAAAAGGGCGGCCATTACATATTTGTTTTCTCAGTACAAGCTTTCCTTCCCATTTGAACATTAGAATATTTTTGAAGATACAAGAAGAACTACATCTCTACGAACACAATTTTCAAATTTATATCCATAGCCTTAATGCTGTTTCTGAAGGGAGCTCTGGTGGCCTAGTGGTAAGAAACTGTGCTGTAATCCCAAAGGCACACGCATCTAACCCACCAGATTCTCCACTGAGAAGACTGGGCAATGTGAAGGCATGTGATTAACTGTGAAAACCCACTGGAGGTTTAGCTACGAGTCGGTACATGAAACAATGTTGTTTCTGGGATTCTTTTGTTTTTGCTTTACTACATTTTCCCAAAGTAGACAAAGATTTTTTGCCTTTGTGACTTCCTATCAAGTTATTTGATAAACTGTTTCCTCACCAACACAATGAGGCTGTATCCGTGGTACCTTAAGCCTATGATGAAAAGTGAGCAACATGTAGTGTGAGCACTGGAAATGTAGGTTAATCCATGAGCAAGGGAATTGTTTTGTATCTCAAAAAGTTGAAAAAATCTTGCCTGTTTTAACCTCAGCAAATTAGCTAAGTTACAGTGTACTCTGCGAGAAGATATCAGATTTTCAAAGTTGCATGCTACGAAATGTGTGAGGTGGAAATATCAGGATTGTGATTGCATGTGGACCTCGATCTTAATCTTGTTGAATGGAAAATAAGAAAGGAGAGCTATAAGTAGAAAAAGAAACTGAAATAAAATACTGGTTAGGGTGGTGGGATTCTGTAAGATTTTACCCATACTTTTTCTCCCTTATCAATAATAGTAAAAGTGGATTCTTAAATGAAATACTTTGAAAACTTTTAAAAAAAAATTATCTGTCAAAAATATGAGATATTTGAGAAAAGGAATTTTGCACATCAGCTGAGATTGCGTAAGGACACGCTGCTCCCAGGCCCTCACAACTGCTCACTGATGGGCATTCAGTGCCACACTCCAGGACAGTGTCTGACGGCGTTAATCACAGAAAGAGGGACACAGACACTTGGCACTTGCTCTAGTGCCAGCCTTCTCCTCTAACCCTTAACTGCTGTTCACATCCAGCTATGTTCTATGCTTTGGTCAAATGGAGCACTGGTTTCCAGAGTATGCTCTCTGTATTCTTGGTTTTATACCTTTTTTCATTACTTCAACTTTTCCTCATTGGTCAAAACACAGCTCATCCAGAAAGCTAAGCCCAAATGTTTCTCCATCCTTGAAGCTTCCCCTCTCCTAAACAATTACCTCCTCCACAGAGCTTCCTGGGCAACAGTGCTCAGAGCTTCTCTCTTGTCTTTCCTTGGGACATTCACATCTCCCTGTTAAATACTAGGTAAAATTGTTGTCCTGCTTATGTTGTCAAGACTTTTAAAGAATTCTCAGGCTGGGAAGAAACCATACATAGTAATTGCATGTTGACTAAAAGAGGCCTCATGAGCTTCCATGGCAGTCGTTATCAACTTAATCTAAGTACACACACACTCCTAGTAGGGATTTCCTGTGTGTGCCTGATCTTACAAGACTCTAAATTGAAAAGGATTGTGTCCTACCCGTGTACGTGTCTCCTCTGACTTTGACTTTGGTATGCACAAGGGGGGTGATAATGCTTATTTTACTCAAGAAGGTTGAAGATTGAAAGTTCTTGAGGATTGCCACCCAGCTAGATCAAAGTCTATCATAAAATTTATGTGGAAGGAGAGTGACACCAAGTGGTCTATACTTGTTGATCTAGAAACAAAGCCAAATGCCACCGTCAATAAAATGTTCTTGCTGTTAAGTACTATCAAGTACGAACAGACACATAGCTGACGCTCCAGTGGGTTCTCAGAGGCAGTAAATTGCACAGGAGGAGAACTGTCCATCTTTCTCCCATATTAACTGCTGGTGGATTCAAACCACCTGCCTTTGGGCTGGCAGCCCAATTCTTTACCCACTACTAGGTCACCAGAGTACCCTGCCTAGATATTATTGTGGTGAAATGGAGTAGAATTGGCCATTAATCAGACACTCATATTGTTATTATTCCAGGAATGAGAAATCAAAGAGGAATAGTGTTGCATTCATAGTAAAAAAGAGCTACCTTGGAGTACAATGGTGTCAGTGATAAGATACTACACACCTATGCGGACACAGAATATCTGTTAATGCAACTATCATTCAAACATAAACACCAATCTTGAACGTTAACGATGAAGAAAATGAGGATTTCTACCAATCTTTGAAATATAAAATTGAACAAATATGCAATCAAGAACTGAAAGGTTGGTGATTCAATTCCACCTAGACGCCCCATGAAAGAAAGGATTAGCAATCTCCTCTGTGAAACCCCAGCCACAGAATTGGCAATGGAACTCTTTACCCCTACGCCACTGAAGTTCCCAAATTTAAAAAACAAAACAAAACAGAGCACACAAACAACCCAAACTTCTCAATACAGAGATTCTGGGCAATGCTAGTGAAGGCCCCCTCGTGATCTAGAGGCCCAGACCTAGGGGCCCCATGGCCTGTTCTAACAACCAGTACTAAAGATCCAGCTGAGCCACTGTCTGTGCCAACACTCCCATCCAGGACCCCATCCTGCCATGCAAACATGGGTTTCACCTGGGATCTGAAAAAGGATGTCCTGTGCTATGATATTTATATATCCGGTTGTCTGTATGGTTTACTCTTAGAGGTACAACACATATATGTCAGTTCATTTATTGGAGAATGATTTGCATGTTGCTAATTACTTTATATCTTTGATGTGTATAGGCTTGGGTATTATTATGTGCTCCTATTAGTACATAACTTGTCTGTCAGTCTACTGTACTGGTGTAGCTTATGAGGTGAGCTATAATGCTGGAATCTATGCCACCAGTGTCTCAATTACCAGAAGGCTCACCCATGGTGGACAGGTTGCAACAGAGCTCCTATATTAAGACAGACTAAGACGAAGGATTATTCATCTACCTCTGAAACAAGGGGCCTTCAAAAATCCTATAGACAGAAGAAGGTAGATAATTATAGTATTAGAGGTAGAGCCCACACAGAAATTTTTGAGTGCAAAAGAAAGAAGAAATGACTGCAAACAACCAATAATAACTGGAATATAGAATGTATGAAATATATAGGAAAAACAGGAAGCTGTCAGAAAAGAAATGGAATGCATGAAAATTAGCATTCCAGATATCAGTGAACTGAGATGCACTACCATGGGCCACTTTGAATCAGACAATCATAGGGACTGCTATGCTGAGAATGAAAAACTGAGACTACTATGCTGAGAATGAAGAGTAGCATTGTTTTCATAGCTAAAAGGGCGATTTCAAGATATATTCTGAAACACAATG